TTGCTTGCTTGCTTCGGTTGGAACGACTCATCATAAGAAATTGAGATCTGAGTTCCAACACTTCACAGAAGAGAAGAGAGAGAGAGAGATAGAGAGATAGAGGGAGGGATAGATAGATACAATAGGTAGATAGACAATAAAAATAAGGAGGCTGTGTTGTCAATTGCTGCTGCTGCTGCTGTTGCTGCTGCCGCTCGGATCAAATGCAGTTTTGGTTTTTAGGACTCTAGGCCCCCCCATCTTAAGACTCACCAATTTGAGGGCACCAACCTTTGCGACCGTGTCACACACACGACCATGACGCATGGTAGTTACCTTCCTTTCACCCTCTCAAACTCTCTGTGTCACGAATGTAAAGCATGGTTGGTTGGATGCGCAGATATGTCATAGTCCTTTGTTTCTCGATTGCCCAAGTCTGTTTATGGCCCCCCAAAGGAAAATTTGTATTCAGTGCATCTTGGGCTGGCTCTTAGCACAGTTGAATCACACGGGCATCATTGTTTCAACAAACATGGTTTGCAATGTTCCGTAAGGTAGCAAACTCATCCCCCAAAGACCGCCTATTTTCGATCCACAATGTTTTTTGCAGACCACACTTGTCAAAGACCAATCATCACATCTTTACGTCCCCCACCTGTTGACAACACCTTTGCGATGGATGGGTAACATTTCTATTTTTGCACAGTATTTGACCTGGTCTGGACTTGCTGCGGACTTGCAGCAGCTGCATGGTCTTCAGGCCACCAAACTATTGATTTATTTGTCAGTTTTGTGGTTGCCTCACACTTGCTGAGCAGGTGTCCAAACTTAGTATGTCGGAGTTATCTCATGACGAGCGAGAGTTGGTGCTACAGGCCAGAATTCCAAGTAGGGTTTAAACATCTGAGACCATTTTCGATGCAAAAAGTGGGCGCTCAGGAAGCTTGTCCTTAGAACATAATAGCATTTAAGAAAACGATGGAAGGACAGAAAAAGAGAGAGAGAGAGAGAGAAAGACAAAGACAAAGACAAAGACAAAGACAAAGAGAAAGAGAAAGAGAAAGAGAAAGAGAAAGATAAAGAAAACAAAAACAAAAACAAAAACAAAACGAGAGGACATATGTGCAGCTTGTAGGTCAAGACATGGTTCACCTGCACCGAAATGGAGGCATTCATTTTTAGCTGTTTAGTTTTTTTTGCAAGTATGTTTGCTGTGGTGCACAGAAATCAAAGTGGAGATGCGGTCTTCTAAGGCTTTGGTGCAGACTGCTGTTCAATTTGCCGATGCCAACTGTGCAATTTTCGAGCCCGAACTGGGTGAACACAAATTAGTGTGCGCCATTTGCGCTCTTGGTGATTTCTTTACCATCATCATGAAATATAACATTTCAGCAATCTTGCTGGCGTCTCAGTCACTTTATTTTCTTGAGGATTCAATTTGTGAACGCTGCAGGTATACCCAGTTACACAACGAGTTCAAACAGCTGTTTGAGGAGCTCAAACCAAGTACTGTAATCACAAAGGCGCATAATTCTTGAGCCTTGAGGACAGACTAAACTCTTTTTTGGCAAGCATTGGTGCAACACCTGAGGCGGGAACCTTGCATTTGGCTTCAGTCTTAAGAGCCGTTGATTGTTTGGGAGGCCTTTTACGCCGCCTTTGAAAAAGCCGGACATGAAGGTGGTGCTTTCAATGCTTTCAGGCCAGTGTGGTGATATGTTGTTATTCGATCAAAGGAGAGGTGCAAACTATGGCAGAGCTGATGTACACCTGCTTGGAGTACGAGTTCTTCTGCCAGGCGTGTTTGTAGTCCGGAAGGAAGGCAGAACGTGAATGTGAAAGGAACGCCTCGAGTCCCTGCGGCTGCGGATTCGACATTCATTGCGCCAGATCATGTGCGAGAGGAAGCGAGAGCTGGAAGCGCAGCACGTGCGCCAGAGTCTTTTTGGGAGGTTGTTTCAGTGTTGCAATCAAAATCAAGCCAGTTTTTCATATCCTGACAGGCGACAGGTGTGCTTCCGCAGCCACATGCGCCGGGCATTTCAGGGTATGGAGGCCCTTTCGTCAAGGTCGCCTTGTTCCTAAGTTGTGCAGACTGACTGAAAGGAACAATCCGATCGCCATGAGAATGAACAACAAGTTACAATATTGTTTTCTGGCTTAATTATGCTTAATTCTAATATCTACAATCTACTGTTTGGTTGGTTAGTAATAGGCCTCTCAAGGCTTTGTATTTGCTTAGCATTTTGGTCCATCTTGTTGTCAGACTCCCAATCTTGTGCCTGTGCCTTCTCAGCATGGAATTCAACCAGTCAGATCAGATCTAGATTTTCTGCACAGCAAAGGCCAAAAACTCCGGGCCATCACTGTGTTTCGTGCAGGTCACAAAGATGGCTATTCTGGTCCTGGGGCACCCTCGGCGGCGTGAGTAGAAAAGGTTTGTCATGATTTGCTTGGATAAACAAGAGATATGGAGGTACCACGTAGCCACCTCAAGCCTGTTCTGATGGCATGATGCCCTTAAGAGTCTGGACACTTCCAGTTTCAAGCCTCATGTTCGAAAGCCGCTAAGCCTCAAAGAAGGAGCTACTTTCAGGACAAGCCGGAGTAAAAGTCAGACTTGGGCCAACAACCTAATAGCAAAAGGAACCTAATAGCGATAGCCTCCACCCTAGTAGCAATGGCCTCCAACCTGATAGCGATGGCCTCCAACACTATATGAGCTTTTTTTGGACAGGTGCATGTACACACCGCAAACAGACATGCTCTCCACTGTTTCTCGTATGGATGGGAGTTTGCTCACAAACTTGCTGGCACAGTCTTCTGTCCATCATGCAATTAAGGGCAACCTCCCTCTCCTCAAGTACGACTCAGGGTCTGAACAAGCCAGGTATGTCAACCGACATGTCAAGCCCAACTCCGTCTGACGGATCATCAGCTAGTCATCTGTGTCACGGATGACCACTTGGTCGCTTGGCACCTCATGTCCGACCGGCCCAAACCTGCCGCTTTCTCAGCAGTTTCTTGCAGCAAATGTGTTCACGACCAGCTCCTCCAAACCTGCAATTATCCACAGTCTTGAATTTCAGTACTAGATTTGGATGGGCATTCAGAAAGATAAGATATCTCACTTGTTTGTTTTTAAACGCCTGTATACAAAAACTACCTGAGACTCGAGACTTGCCAGGGAGGGCAGCGAAAGGCTACACGCTCGCACAAGGCCAGTTGCGTGTGAATGACCTGAGGAATCTTGAAGCATGATGACAGGGCTAGATTGCCTGCCGGCCTGGCGCTCACTCACTCACTCCCTCCCTTCCTCCCTCCCTCCCTTCCCTCCCTCGCTCTGTTGCTCTTTTTTTGTGCCCCAGATGATTCTGTTCTACAGGCATCCACAATCATGCTCAATTCTCCCGGTTGACGGATATGCATTGACAATCCTCAGATGTACGTCATGCGGGAATGATTACACTCCCTGAAATAATCATGGAAGTGGACTGTTTGTATATATATATATATGCTACCCCCCCCAAATGTCTACCTTTTTATGTAGTTACTATAATTCTATTTTGATTACCAATTTGATTTTGATTAATTCAATTTTGATTTGAACCCGATTCTAGTTCAATGCAAATGTATTTCTAATTCAATACAAATTGAATTCTCATTTAATTATGACTTTATTCTAGAAGATGGTTTTGCTGGGGGTGTGATTTTCAGAAAGCAACCTTTAAGAAAGCAACACATATATAGTTGACATTCTGAATGACCTGATTTAAAGCTACTGTAATTAAATGTTAATTCCATTCCAGTTATCATTCAATTCAATTTTAATGTTGAGTAACTTCCATATATAGTTTTTTAAATTGGAATTCAATGCAAATTACTTTTTAGTTAATGGTTACTTCTTTTCAATTTAATTTCTATGCAGTTTATGTTTAAATCTAATATATATATATTTTAGAAATAATCTAGTTATGTTTTTTATGGACCCCAGCAAAGCCCTCTCTCTAGAATAAAGTCAGAGTTAAATGAGAATTCACTTTGCATTGAATTAGACATACATTGGCATTGAACTAGAACTGAATTAATATTAGATTAGAGTCAAGCAAAACTAAATTGGAAATCAAAATAGAATTAACGTAGAATTGTAAATAACTCAACATTTAATTGTATAAGATTTAAACTAGCTGAAGCCAACATTTAATTACAACTAAATTGAAATGTAAACAAAACTAAATTTGAATTAACATAAAACTAGAATGTAACTAACTATTTTAACTAAACTAAGACTTAATCTAAATTTTATCGTTTCAAATAGAATAGGGTTAGAATTAAGATAGAATTGAAATAGGGTTAGAATTAAGATAGAATTGAAATAGAATTGCTGAACCTGCAGCTCGATTCAAAACTTGAATTCAGTAGTTTTGATCCAGGATTCAAGAACTCTTTTTTTTTGAATCTTGAATCTTGAATCTTCAATCTTGAATCGTAAATCTTGAATCCCCTCTCGTTTGCACACGTTTGCAAACGCTATTTCTAGATTTTGTGCTGAGTACAGTGTGGAAGGAGCATTCATAAACTTCCTGAACGCAAACATTTGCAATGGTAAACAAATACTCAAAATGGGGGATATGTTATGTGTTTTATGTGTTTCCTTTCATTTGTTTATTGTATTTTTCGAACTGAGAAGTGATTTGTTTTTGGTTATATTTTTTATACGCAAAAATATGCATAAAACACTGTAAATACCAATCAAAACCAAAAGAGGTGGACATTTGGGGGGGGGGTACCATGTATATATATATATAGAATATATAGAGGAAAATTGTCATCCTGCTGTGGGAGGGAGTGTAGGTTGAGTTGAAACTCTAGTTTTGCTGCAGGTTGTATTCCTTGGTCAATCTGGAACTGGCAAAACCTCCCTGATTCGCCAGTTTGTTTACAGGACAAAGTAGGGAGACTGGTGGGAGAGGTGTTTGTTGCATTGCAAGCCTTCCAGATTGAAGAGTCATTTTGGCTTTCTCTGACTGCCTTCTTGGTTGGTAGGGTCTCTGCAATAAAGGCTGATTGCTCAATTATTATTGGAAGGACCTTTGACCAATGCTATCAAGCAACAGTGGGAATGGACTTTGTCACGAAGCTTGTCACGCTAGAGGCATGTGATGCGGCTGATGTGGGACTCCCGTTTTTTGAGGTATGATTTGGGAGAATGTATCGTTAAGTTTCCCTAAACATCTAGGAACCAAATCATTATTAGTGCGCGAGCTATCCTGCGTCCCGTTCCTAGTAGCTTGAGTAAGCTAGCAGCTAGCTACTTCTCCCGACCTCCGCGGCCTACCCCCCGCGGGTAGTAAGGCACTTGTTTCTAGTAGCTTCTTGTTACTACTAGTAAGGCACTTGTTACTACTAGCGTGGCACTTGTTACTACTAGCCAAACAAAAAAGCAAATGATTTGGGAAAGACTGTTCACATGATTACTTGCTGTTGAGCCATCGGTTTCAGGATGGTGACCAAATGCGGCTGCAGCTCTGGGACACTGCGGGCCAAGAGAGGTTTCGAGCCTTAGTGCCAAGTCGGGCGCCCAGGTGTTGGGCTTGTGAACTGATTGGAAGAGAGTACTGTAGACTGCCTTGCTCTTGGAAAAGGGACTCTGCAGCTGTTGTCGGTAGGAAGGACTGATGCATGGGCATATGACATAGACATCGGATATATATATATATATGAGCAACCACTTTTATTAGGTTTTACTAAAGTAGTCTACGGCATGCTCTATTTAATTGCTTGTCTATCATCAGTATTCGCTTGTGAACGAGATAGGGCCTCCACATAAACGAGATACTTTTGTTTGATGACGCTAAAGTAGTCTGAACGAGAGAGTGTGATTTGCTACTAAAGTAGTCTGAACGAGATACTGTGACATGACCTCCTGCTTAAGTCTAAACGAGATAGAGCCCCCCACATAATAGATAAGTACCAAATAAATGCCGCCGCACATATTGTAAATGCTTCACCTAACACCAGCTAATTTGTCTAAGTGCATTTGATTCCCCAGCATGGCCAGTGTGATCGAAGCATTTGGAATTGCAGGCTATCTCAGAGACAGCTCGGTTTGCGTGATTGTTTACGACGTCACATCTCGGGCACCTACCTGAGTCTTGTGCACGACTAGCAGCTCTTTGTGCACAAAAGTACAATTTTGAAGTGTTTCCCGTTGAAAGAAATCAACCTTTTCTTAGCCTGTCCGAAGCGGCGACTCCTTTTTCGTTCAATCCATTTCCATTTGGTTTGGCTGAAGCTGCAGCAGCTGCAGGAATCCTTCAACAGCGTGAAGGGATGGGTGGAGCAAGTGCTTGAGGAGATGCAAAATACAACTTTTTTCTTTCCATTTTGCAACATCGTTTAGTGGATGATCAACTGGCTTGTGCATCCTTTGGTTGCACGAGGCCCGATCAAGGCAAGAGGTGACGCTTGCCCTGGTTGGAAACAAGATTGACCTTGAGGCGTGCAAGTGAAACTTGAAGGAACAGAGAATCTGCAAGCCTTTGCCCACCTTTCCTGCATGATGCAAGATTTTTGGCTTGCAGCCACCGGCATAGGGCAGAGGCATTGCCATTTTGTAGGCAGAAGCAGTAAACTTGAAGTGACTTTCTCCAAGACACATGGCATTTGCCTTTTCCTCTTCAGTGGTTTGGCATAGGCCGGGGCGGGGCGCTTGTCGATCTCTGAGCAGACAAGCTCAAAAACTAGACACTTGTGGGATCTAAGGCTTGAGATTGACAAGGCTGTGGATTTCCCAAATCTCTCTCTCTCTCTATATATATATATATATTTATTTTTCATTGTTTTGCACAGCATGGCAGTCGATTTGTAATTTTTGGCTCAGGTGGACATGAGTCAAGTTCAATGAACGCTGTGTTTAGCAATTGAAACATGTTGACAATATTCATACCTTCTTACCCTGGCAGACCATCGGCATCAGAGCAGTTTTGTACGGCCCAGCTAATTTAGTGGACTGAACTCGAACAGCCATGCGCCGAAGCAGCGCTTAGACATTGGCTTCGCGATTTTTGTTGTCCGCTGAGGAGTGTGCTTCTCTTATCTATCTTCGTATTCCCAACAAATGAGATCGTTGGCTCGGGCTGGAACCCTCTACGGAAACTTAGTGGGCTTATTTGAAACATAAATCCTTCGTTGCAAGGGCAATTGAAGCTTATGCATGAAGCAGATCTGCACCCAAAATGGTTCGAGATGTTTACTCCAAGAGGACCCTAGCCATTCTTAACAAGTTGCCAGGAGTGTTGAGTGTTGACAAGAATTCCTTTACAGTAATCCGTTTGTGATTTCTACTTCCATCATGCTTGCTAAGCACATCATTGCCATGACCAATGCTGTTGCAGGAGCGGCAATGAGGGCGCTCTTGCAGGGTGGTGGCTTCGGATATCGAAATGAAGTTGCAGGCAAGGTGGCAAGGAATTGAGCCAGGTACCAGAATATTATGAGCAAGACTGGTGGACATCCGCCAAATGCAACTACTTGTCTAGGAAGACATACTTGTGTTTCAAGATACAGGAGTTTGACAAATGAGAAACTCCGTTGTTAGGTGATGAGTGGCGGACTGCAATGCCGAAGAAGAAGCCCTGCAGACGGGCGCCGAGACCTGATTTTCTGGCTGGCCTCCCTGGTGCGGACCTAACAAGCTCCACTCCTTCCAATGAGATGTGCACAGCCGCAGAAGCTATGACCCAACCTTAGTTTGGATGCGTCTTTCCAAGGAGAAGCTAATAGCGTCAATAGGTTAAGGGCTTCCTCAAGGAAGCTAAGCTCCCCCTGCCGTCAGGTGGGGGAAGATTTGTTGAAGAGGCCTAAGCTTTCCGTTTGCTAGTTGCTTTGCTAGTAGCCACCTCCTCACGGCCTACCCCCCAAAAAGAGATCAAGAAAAGAAGACTTGGCAGCAAAGAGTTTCTTTTGTGTGTGCCTGTGCCAAGGCCTGTGCCAAGGGTACAAGAGTCAGCGATGCGACGCCGTGAGGAGGAGGTAGGACGTCTAGAATTGCAAAGCGAAGGTGAAGAAAACAAAAAAACACTCAAAGCTGCGAAGGAATGCAGAATGCACATGCTTAAAAACGACAGTGAGGACATTTGAAGTAAGAAACGACATTACACTGATGATGGAGACTATGATTCAGTTGGATGTTGGTCTTTGAGGCTTTAGAGAGCGAGGGCTCTGATGATGAAGGGGTCTTCCGTGAGTATGCCATGGGTGAGCTTGATAAGTGGATCCGAGCTACACTGCAGCAGACAAAAACCCATTGCATTCAGCGAAGCTGAAGCATGCTCGAGGACCACGTCAGGTGTTGGATTTTTCGTGTGCGACGTGGCACCAGCCAACGCACTTTCGCATGATGGGGAAGCCCAAGGCCTCCTGCTGCGGCAAACTTGAGCAGTTCAAGAGTTATCAGAAACGAAGTGCTTTTGCCTGCTGCTGTGGCATGATGGTGACATTTGGACTCTAAGCAAGAATGCCAACTGGTCCAGAAGTTTTTCCCAGCAAGTTACTTGGGGCAGTATTTGAACAATCACGACGAGACACTTTTGGGAGTGGCGTTTTGACAGGTATGAAGAGAGACTCTGAGAGGCAGGTTTGAGACTGCTGCTACTATTTGGCCATTTGCTTGTCACTGTGAGCAGTTAGGCCATGCTCTCATTCGGGAAAAGATATATTGGTGATTTCTGAAAATGGTACGACTGGAGTAAGATCCCTTGAAATTAGCAGAGCAGATTGCTAAACTGGTCAAAGCACCAGCTGACCTTGTCTCACGACCTGTGGCATTTGAGCGCAGTCGTTCTGATGTGCAGCAAAACCGCGACTTTGCCCAGTGAGTGTGTTTCACCTGCCATACACATAAACTGCTTCAGTTTGGCATGTGGAAGCTGTTTCAGGATCGGAAGGTCCAGTATTCTGAGGGAGAAGCATTGGCCACGGAGCTGAAGATGCTTTTCTTCGAGGCCTGGCTTGGGCTTCCGCTTCTCTTGACAAATTTGACTGTTTTGACTCATCAACTTGGATTTTTTCTGTTATTGGTGTGTCTACCGAAGACAAGCGACATGCATGCAAATAGCCATGGTAGGCAAAAGCAATAGCAGGAAAAGCCGACACCCGTGCTACATGGGTTTGCGTGTGTGTTGCAATCTAGTGAACTCTGATAGCGAGCTGCTGACCAGCCACAAAGTGTTCGACATGTCAGCGAGTCTTTTCACTGTTTAAAGTGCAAGATTTGCTGACATTTTTCGAGAGGCCACTGCTCTCAAGTCTGACTTGGTGGACGCAGTTTTTCATGGGCTGGCTGCAGGCCGAGCTGTGATGAAGGTAGAGATAAGATTGGAAAATGTTTGTTTCTTGCAAGGTAAATCAGATAGAATCAGCAGAGGTGTAGAAATTGCTGGTTCGGCAGGTCTGTCATGCGAGCCCAAGGCAGAGTCTGATGACGAGATCGTGCTGGAGCCACAAAGACGCCCCGAGGCCTGTGACCAGTCACAGATGTTTAGCTTGACAAAGCACCTGTCACTGGCTGTCATGTCAAGCCATAGCACACCTGAGGTTTCTCAGAAGCGGAAGAAGTGCTGCGTTTGAAGGTTTGTGTCAAAGTACATCATAGATCCAGTGCTGTCTTTGTGTGTGGCCAACCTGAATGTTTGTGGGCGGATCAAGAGTAACGCAAGCCAGATCAGTGTGGTTTAGTACTGCAGAAGGCTAGCTGCACGACGCATGTACATAGGGCAGGTTGGCCTGAGGTTGGCCACCTGCAAGAGACTCAAAGTCTTGCCGTTTAAGTGCAAGTAGGGGTCCGTTCTCGTCATATCTGAGAAATCTCAAGCCAAAAACATGTCTCAGATGTCTTAGAATACTTTGGGATCCCAACAATGCCCAACAGCAAGAAATGATGCCTAGTGAGGTTGGGGGGTTGGTCGTTTGAACATATAGTATTTTTGCTTGATGTTCCTGACTTGTGGTGGCTCGAAAGAGAGTCAAAAAGCTTCTTACACCTTGAGAGGTAACATGTAGCTCGAATGTTTTGCCAATTAGCCAGCTTCACTCCCAGACATTCGCACCTTTAAGCCAACGCAGTGCTACTACCACTTTTGCAGCTGCTTTTGCAATGACGACCGCAGACTTGACACCAGGCTAGATGAATGCATTCTTATTGTGTATACTGTATACATACATAGTACTTACTGTACAGCTTCAACAACAAGGCCTTTTTGGCAAAGACATTTTGTGGATACAAGCAAGAGTGCTGAGGTGACTTGGTGGAGCCAGTGTTGGTGCCCAAGCTGCGCCAAGTCTGCTACGTTTTCGATAAGTTGTGCTGGTTCTTCTGAAAGACTCAATGTGAGACCTTTGTAATGCAAAACCTTCACAGCCTAGCGGTGTGATGTTTTGTCCTGCAAGGCGTGCACGTCTCCAAAGCACAAGCAGTGATGCTTTAACTGACGACAGCTTCAGCATTCCGCTGGAGGTGCCATGCATATTTCATGTTATTGTTCACATTTGTTCACCATTCCAATGCCCGCAATGTTCATTTGTGCATTCTATGAAGATTGCTCCATTGATTTGAGCACTCAGATACCAACACTGGAGATCCCCAGCGAGTTGATGCTCCAGGCTACAGATCTGCGGGTGTGACAGAAGCATTCTCCTTCATAGTCAATCCTCTCCTACATCAATGTTTGCCTACATGCTTCACAGATAACCACTATGTCACTATGTACTGTGAGTAGACGCTAGGTCCCTCAAGTCCACCAAGCATCGGCAAGAATAGACATCAACGAAAGGACAACACCAGTACTGGTATTAAGAACATCCACACACACACACACACTTGAGAAATCATGCGTGCCCTGAAGAAGCCTCCGTAACCGAATACCTAAGTGATCCAACCAGCTTCGTGTGCAAAGCCAAGGTTCTAAGTTCCAAGGATTTGGATCAAAGTGCATGAGAGTGAGAGGTTCCGAAAAGCTCCAAAAGTCAAAGGCCCAAGTGAACGAACGATCAACGATCGACGATCGACGAATGCACCTCAGAAGAATGCATTAGCTCTTTACTGCACAACAACGTAGGAGACAGCTTGAGCTCTACTTAGAATCAGAAGAGTTCTAGCGAGCAAGTACATGGAAGTGGCTTCCCACTTCCATATCCTCAGGTACATCACCAGCTTCGTTGACCAGGCGACGATGTACCCTGCCTGGTCCCATGCTATAACATGCAGAAAATTGTACCAGGTTCATGTGATCCTCACGACGTCCTCCAAACTTGCAGGGCGATTCGTCTCGGAGACTGGCCGGAACTGAAGGGCCTGAATCAGTCTGAACTGCAACAGTTACACTTGCTTACATTCAAGTGCAAGTCAGTTGGATTTAGTTACGTTCAAATGTGACATGTAGTTACATTCAAGTGCCACATTCAACTGCAAGTTGAGCTGCAAGTAGTTGCATGCAAGTGTGAAAGCAAACCTGAAAACAGTTATACTACCTCGTAGCGAACAAAGGAGTTAACGGATATGTGCCAAAATCAACAATGCCTTATTCATCAGGAACCGACTGCGCTGGCAGCTGGGTCACAACTCCTTTCTCATCAGCCCAAGGATAGGGAAAATAGCTGAAATCAGAGCATCTTCGAGCATGCTCGAGTATGTTCCTTTTTGACTTTGAAAGCATCCATGCAGAGGCATGAGTTAGGAGTTGTGGGTGGTGCGTGGGTGTTGGGTTGGCAGCCAAAAAGGCTTGGCAGCCAAAACGGCTTGAAGGGATCAGATCAGAAGCGCAGAAGCAGCGGAAAATTGACAGGTCCACAAGTTTCTACTCATGTTTTTCCCCAGATAGCGAAGCTATGGGGTTCTTGCTATGGGGTTCTCATTTCAAATAACAATGAGTTGCTCGTGCGTGCTTTCGAGACAGGTTGCTGGTGCTGGTGCCGGGTGCCGGTGCTGGTGCTGTGAGCTGGCTGTGCACGCTGGTGCTGTGAGGTGGCTGCCCACGTGGTGGAGACAGGTTTCTGGTGCTGGGTGCCGGGTGCTGGGTGCCGGGTGCCGGTGCTGGTGGTGCCGGGTGCCGGTGCTGGTGCTGGTGCTGTGAGCTGGCTGTGCACGTGGTGGAAACAGGTTGCTGGCGCCGGGTGCCGGGTGCCGCTGGTGGAGACAGGTTGCTGGTGCTGGGTGCCGGGCGCCGGTGCGGGTGCTGGTGCTGTGAGCTGGCTGTGCACGTGGTGGAGACAGGTGCTGGTGCTGGTGCTGGGTGCTGGGTGCCGCTGCTGGCGGTGGAGACAGGGTGCCGGTGCTGTGTGCCGGGTGCGTGCTGTGAGCTGGCTGCGCACGTGGTGGAGACGTGGTGCCGGTGCTGGGCGGCGGTGCTGGTGCGGGTGCTGTGAGCTGGCTGTATACACGCAACATCATACGGTGTCGTCGCTTGAGCGTTCTTTGTCTATTAGCGCCGTGTGGTATTTACCCTCTTCAGGTTCTGTTTTGGCCGACAGCTGTGTCAAGGGCTGTACTGTTTGCGCACATACTCAGCGTGTTTCAGCATGCTACACACAATAGTCGTGCTGGATATTGCTTGGCCTTCCAGCGCCAGCAACCTGTCTCGAAAGCACGCACGGGCAACTCATTGTTATTTGAAATTACTCCAGCATAGACCCCAGATAGCAAAAGCATGCAAAAGATATTTTTGGGCTGCGCCCTGCATTGGCAGCAGCTCCAATTCTTACACGCAATACAGCGTGGCGTGTCTCCACTACGCGCACAGCCAGCGCCAGCGCCCGGCACCAGCGCCCAATCTGCACCACACACACACACAACGAGCACCAGCAACCCGGCAGCGTATACCAGCGCCCAGCACCGGCGCCAGCTCACAGCACCACACGCGCGCAGCCAGCGCCCGGCACCCTGTTTCCACTACGCGCGCAGCCAGCTGACAGCGCCCAGCACCAGCGCCCACCACGCACACCCAGCACCCAGCAACGGCGCCCAGCACTGGCGCCCTGTCTCCACCACGCGCGCAGCAGGGAATAACAACGTATGATCTTGCGCGAAAAAGGTTCAATTTAAGCGCGCAAAAGTATGCGCGCAAACAGCAAAGCCCGTAAGTGTCATTGGCGCAAGGCCAAGCAGTATCCAGCGCCACTGTTGATTTTGTAGCATGCTTGAAGCAAGGATCTGTAGAACGATACGGCCAGTATGATCTTGCGCGTGCAAGTTTACGCGCGCAAAAGTATGCGCGCAAACGGCAAAGCCGGCAAAGCCCGTAGGCCTCAGTGCCGGCGCTGGTGCTGGTGCTGGGTGCCGGGCGCCGCTGGTGGTGCCAGGTGCTGGTGCTGTGAGCTGGCTCCGGTGCGCGTGCTGGTGCTGTGAGCTGGCTGTGCACGTGGTGGAGACAGGTGCTGGTGCTGGTGCTGGGTGCTGGGCGCCGGTGCTGGGCGCCGGTGCTGGGGGTGGAGACAGGGTGCCGGTGGGTGCGTGCTGTGAGCTGGCTGCGCGCGTGGTGGAGACGTGGTGCCGGTGCTGGGTGGGTGCTGGGCGGCGGTGCTGGTGCGGGCGCTGTGAGCTGGCTGTATGCACGCAACATCATACGGTGTCGTCGCTTGAGCGTTCTTTGTCTATTAGCGCTGTGGGGTATTTACCTTCTTCAGGTTCTGTTTTGGCCGACAGCTGTGCCAAGGGCTGTACTGTTTGCGCACATACTTTTGTACGTACAACGTTCTATGCGCAACGTCAAGCTCTCAACCAACCATTGTTTCAGCATGTTTCAGCATGCTACACACATAATAGTCGTGCTGGACATTGCTTGGCCTTGGGCGAGTGAGGCCTACGGGCTTTGCCGTCTGCGCGCATACTTTTGCGCGCGTAAACTTATACGCGCAAGATCATACTGGCCTTATCGTTCTACAGATCGTTGCTTCAAGCATGCTACAAAATCAACAGTGGCGCTGGATACTGCTTGGCCTTGCGCCAATGACACTTACGGGCTTTGCTGTTTGCGCGCGTACTTTTGTGCGCATAAATTGAACCTTTTTCGCGCAAGATCATACGTTGATATTCCCTGCTGTGCGCGTGGTGGAGACAGGGTGCCAGTGCTGGGCGCCGTTGCTGGGTGCTGGGTGTGCGTGGTGGGTGCTGGTGCTGGGTGCTGTCAGCTGGCTGTGCGCGTGGTGGAAACAGGGCGCCGGGTGCTGGCTGTGCGCGTGTGGTGCTGTGAGCTGGCGTGCCGGTGCTGGGTGCTGGTAGGGTGCTGCCAGGTTGCTGGTGCTCGTTGTGTGTGTGTGGTGCAGATTGGGTGCTGGTGCCGGGTGCTGGCGCTGGCTGTGCGCGTAGTGGAGACACGCCACGCTGTATTGCGTGTAAGAATTGGAGCTGCTGCCAATGCAGGGCGCAGCCCAAAAAATATCTTTTGCATGCTTTTGCTATCTGGGTGTATGCTGGAGTAATTTTCCTATACCGTGGCGCCCCCACCGCGCACACTTTTGTTGTTTTGTTTTGCTGTGGCGGGCTTGCGCTGTATCCTCAAGTCCTAGCCCATGTGCCGGACATGGTTTTTTCCTATGTTTTCTTGTGGTGGTAGCGCGCTGAGGAGTGAGGAGTACCCGCCTGCTCTTCCCAAGCCATCAGACGCCATAAATCCTATGTCATCAGAACCTAGTATACACAAGATGGAGCCCACGAACCCGAATGCAAACACGTACTCGAAAACAAACGCTCAAACATTTTTTGACACTCTTGAAAGAGACGCTCTTTTGGGACATTCGTGCGACACTCTCGTGCGACGCTTTCGTCGCTTTGTGGGACACTCTTGCAGGACACTCTTGTAGGACACTCTTGTAGGACACTCTTGTGGGACACTCTTTGTGACCTCTTTCCCGCGTTACATGTGTACTACAAGTTGCCAGTTCTGAGGCCACAGCCCCCAGAAGTTGCTTTGTGGACTGACTACATTTCTACTACCAAGTGGCCAGTTCTGGGGTTGGTTGCGACGCGAGGGACCCAAAGCCGCCTCCCGTTCCAGGTTTGTCACCAACCAGGAGCTGCTTTACAGCGCACGCTACAAATTGCCACTTCTGCGGGACACTCTTGTGGTGCACTCTTGCAGGACGCCCTTGTAGGACAGAGTGAGCCACGCAAGAGTGTCCCGCAAGAGCGTGCGACAAGAGTGCCCTACAAGAGTGTCCCACAAAAGTGTCCCACGAGTGTCCCGCAAGAGTGAGGGTGTCCCACAAGTCTTTCCTACAAGAATGTCCCACACAAGTACCCCGCAAGAGTGTCCTACAAGAGTTTTTCACAACAGTGTCCCGCAAAAGTGCCCCACAACTGTGAATTACAAGAGTGTCCCACAAAATCTCCGAGTCCCACAAGAGTGTTCCACAAGAGTGTCCGACAAGAGTGCCCCGCGCAAGTGTCTCACAAGAGTGTCCGACAAGAGTGTTGTGCAAGAGTGTCCCACGGACCCCACAAGAGTGTCCTACAAGAGTTTTTCACAACAGTGTCCCGCAAAGTGCCGTGCGGCACTACTAGTAAAGTCTACAAGAAGTCAACGGTCAAGAGCATTTCTCCCAAAATTCAGTCGTCAAGTCTCCAAAACGAGCGTTTCGCACGAGGCATCCTCAAAAACTCATACTGTTAAAGCCTGCGAAACGAGCGTTTTGTACAAGACTTCCTCCGCAATTCATGCGTCAAGTCTCCAAAACAAGCGTTTCGTACGAGACCTCCTCAAAAAGGTCACAAAAAGTCATATGTCAAAGTCTCCAAAGCGAGCACTTCGTACAAGACAAGCGGGAAGGCCCATCGGACACACGCATCAAGCAGCCCTGCCAAGCAGTTTTGCAATTCCAGCTCCTCCAAACAACGCCCGCTCGCGCGCCAATCCCAATGTCACAGGGTCATTCACCTCCACCGCAACTCGCAACCTCACGATTCCCTGCGCCCGCCGCCAAAATTTGCCTCCACACCCTCCAACGCGCGCTGAAGTGGAGCGCTTACGATTCCCTGCGCCTGCCACGAAAGTTGTAGAAAACCGGCGCAAAGTATTGCGCCTGCCACGAAAAGTCGCAATATCATTTCATGTTAGCTTCAGCAAAGATTGTTACCACAGCACACGTTTGGTGTGTTTTCGGCACGTTCTGAGCACACTCCCCACCAGCAAAATCGCCACTTTAGTTGAGACTTGTCACGAAAACACGGCTTCGAAGCAACGAGCCTGAAACGCAAATCACAATGTCACGGCCACTCCAACACCCCAAAAACACCACTCTCCAAACGCCAATCCCAATCTAACACAAAACGCTTCGCCTGCAGTGAAATCATCCTCCACGCTTCAACGTCTCACGTTTCCACGTGGTTCCCCACTATTTCGCACGAATCACGACGCGTCATGCTTCCATCCAAAACCCTCTCCAAAAGCTTCGCCCAATGTCAGCGCCATAGCGCCCTACCGCGAAGGGTTGCGAACGGTCCCCCGGACCCCCACAGTTAAACAAGAACCCACGCGTTCGGGGAACATATACAAATTATTGCACTCGCATCCAAAAAGCCAACAAGGGGTGATTGCAGGAAGCAGCTATTTGCAGTTGATTTGCGTGGCTTCGTTTGCGCGACTAGGAAATCAACCGTCACGCCCCCTGCTTTTAACGCACACACACACACGCTTAGGAAATGCATACTGAACTGAATGCCGCTTGCCACACGGCAACCTGGGTACCCAAAGTCCAACCCACGAGGTAAGGAAGCGACGGCAGGGCGAAATGACGGCGGACGCTCGCATCTGCAGAACGCTTCAGCCCTGTAAGGAAAAGAAAAGTCACAGCATGAGCGACAGTTCAAACAAAAAGCAGGTACGTGGAAATCGCGTCCAATTTCCATATCTTCAGACGCATCGCCAGCTTCGTTGACGAGGCGACGATGTATCCTGCCTGGTCCCCTGCTCCAAAACTGCTATACATTTACAAACAAACGCAAAGAATCCCTGTGATTCCAAGGGTTTCACACACACACGCCTCCCGATTAGGGAGCCCGGAACTTTCCAAATTCGAAGGAACCCCTGTGGCTCCAAAGGGGTATCGCGCACAAGCCCCCACGTGAAGGGGCCCAGAAACTAAGGGGCGAGCAAATGTGCATGTTTGCGCGCAGAGGAGACAAAAGGATGAAGGCGTGAGAAGAGGGCAAGACAAGACCAGTGTGTGTGATTGCGACGAGGGGGAAAACAAGGTGCACAGGGACAACCACTGAACCGAACCTCATTGTCAAAATTTGGGCGCCTTGAACCCTGGGTTGAAGGTAAGTTGTGCGCGTACACGCTAAGGGCCGGGCTGTTGTGTGCGCAAAAGAAAGAACGGAGTGAGATGACAGAGCGTGAAGGCAGAAGGACATGAAAAGAAAGGGAAAGAAACGTATAGGTGAGGGGGCAAGGATGAAGGGGGTAACCAAACGCAAGGGCCAGAAACCAATGAGACCAAACCTCATTAAAGGACCTAGGCAAACCGAGCCTGGTTTAACATGTGTGCGCTGTATGTGCACCTAAGGTTGGGACAGGTCCCAGTGGACCTTGAAAAGCTTTGGTCGTTGCGTGCCCGAAGGCTGCCTACTCAAGACCGCTGCGGTCATCTAACGGCTTGCTCGAAAACTGCCTACTCAAATGCAATAATTCATCAAGTCTCTGCAAATAACTTTGGCCTAAACCTCCTGCTGTCCGCTCCGGACACGAGTCGGGCAGCAAGGACAAACCCCTGTTCGACGGGGCCACAGCGGACACTCCTCGGTTACACCCTGGGCTCTCACTAAGGAGAGACACACTTAGGAAATGCGTACTGAACTGAATACCGTCCGCCACACGACAACCTAGGTACCCAAATTCTTGAGAAGGCATGTAAGGGGGTCTGATCATCTCTAGGTGTTGGGAGGCCAAAGGTCCAATCCACGAGGTAACGAAGCGACGACAGGGCGAAATGACGGCGGCCGCTCACATCTGCGGAATGCATTAGCCCTTTATGGAAAAGAAGAGTCACAGCGCGAGCAACAGTTCAAACAAAAACAGGTATGTGGAAATGGCGTCCCATTTCCATATCCTCAGATACATCGCCAGCTTCGTTGACCAGGCGACGATGTATCCTGCGTGGCCCCCTGCTCCAAAACTGCTAGTTGAGTATACATACAAAAGCACAGTCAAAGGAGTCCCTGTCATTCCAAGGGTTTCACACAAACACACACCCGCGCGGACGCTGGAGACACGATAGCCTGAGCAGGGTCCTGTGACTTTCCCCTTGAAGCCATGCAATTCTTTTTCTAGGGCTAGAGTCTAGACAGCACAGTATGTGCGAGCAGGGCAGGCAAGGCCAGCGACAATGTCAGTCAATGGTAGTGATTGGCTGAGCAAAAACCACGCGCTAGAGTGGCTGTGGTGACGGTGACTTGGGCCATTTCCAAACAGCTTTTTGCAGCCGGCCAGGTCCCTCAGTCAGGTTCCCTACCGATGCCCTCCCGGCCAAGCTCCAGCTCACCTTCTTGCCAGTCGCTTGCCAGATAGGGCAAACTGTAGAGAAGTAGAGCTGACCCACTGGCGAATGACGGTTTTGAGCGAATTCCAACCTTTTGTTTATTCTGCGTTTGCATGAAACATATTTGCCGGGTCTTGGCCAAGGATCGGGTCAAGGGATCTCGAGGCGCCCCGATACTGCCTGGGCGAAGGGGAAACCTTTGCCGATCATCACTCATCAAGTCACAAGAAAGGCTTTTGACCATTAAATTTCGCCTGAGAAAGACCAGACCCGTGTTGCTTAGACAGGCGCACTCTGCCCAGTTGGTGCACCCTCCGAGGAGCGGATTGAGATCGGTAGCCTGCGCCAATTGCACTTCAGATTGTCCGGTTTCCTGCAATGTGACGTTTGAGTATTGGTTCTGTTTATTTGACAGGGTTCCTCCACTGGGTTCCAGGTTCGATTCCCCCATATGTACACCTGTAACTTTGTCACAGATTTTTGGCAGGGTGGCTTTTGGCAGGCAAGCATGCACCAACAGGCATCCGAAGGCATAGGTCCTGAGTGACCCAAGCTCCATACATTTTGGGACCTCATCACCTCTGCCCTGGGGGAAAGCGCATTCAAGTCAAGCATGCTGCACCATGACCTGAAAGTCTCCAAGATACAGGATCCTCAAAGCTATTGTTCAAACAGCTGATTGTTATTTACAGCCTTCGGCATGCCGCCGGCCATCAGCTCGAGCCCGCACGGCTGGTCGCCATGGCCCGGGCGTGTGTAGCTGTGTGTAGCTATTGTGTTTTTTTGTGTGCAGGTTATGCAAAGGTTAGCTAACAGAGTGTACGATATCAAAGTGCGTGAAAACAAGGGGTTTGTGCGCGACAGGACTTGGAACATGCACGCTGGCTGGAGATGTTTGTGTCAATGAGGTGCGGCGTCAAAACGAAGTAGTGTAAGAGCCATGTAAGTGGAGAGCAACTGGCCAAAAACAAAAGCTGCGCTGGTGTTACAGCGAGTGGGCAGCGAACAGTACTTGCAGAGAGCGCGTGTGTAACACAGAGCTTCTGCAAAAGCGACATGTAAGCGAAAAAAAGTAGCGAGGAAATGGTTGCAAGGGGCTTGTGCGCGACATGCCTTGGAAGGTGCACAGGTTGCGGTGTCAGAGCGAAGTCGTGTAAGAGCCACTGCCTAGAATAACGCCGTGACAGCGTAAGCGATATAGCGCCCAATTGGCAGCGAGTTCCCGCAAAACGCGTGGAAAAACCTAGGTTTTTATACGTTTTTCTACACGCGCGACTGTGCGCCAATGCATGGCCTGCTTGAAAAAGACGAAGAGGGGGAAAAAGAGAAGAGAAGGAGAACGAGAACGAAAAGAGAAGAGAAGCGAAGACAAGAGACGAGACAAGGGGACGAGACAAGACAAGGCGAGAGGGCGGTAGGAGCGCCTCAACATTAAAAGACGAAAAATGAGTTGGGAAGATGATTTTCATTACTAAAAGTACGAGCACCTCAACATGAAAAGAAGAAAATGAGTTGGGAAGATGATTTTCTTTACTAAAAGTACGAGCACCTCAACATGAAAAGAAGAAAAATGAGTTGGGAAGATGATTTTCATTGCTAAAAGTACGAGCACCTCAACATCAAAAGAAGAAAAATGAGTTGGGAAGATGATTTTCATTACTAAAAGTACGAGCATCAACATTAAAAGATGAAAAATGAGTTGGGAAGATGATTTTCATTACTAAACGTACGAGCACCTCAACATCAAAAGAAGAAAAATTGGTTGGGAAGATGATTTTCATTACTAAAAGTACGAGCACCTCAACATCAAAAGAAGAAAAATGAGTTGGGAAGATGATTTTCATTACTAAAAGTACGAGCATCAACATTAAAAGAAGAAAAATGAGTTGGGAAAATGATTTTCATTACTAAAAGTACGAGCACTTCAACATCAAAAGAAGAAAAATGAGTTGGGAAGATGATTTTCATTAC